TTAATAATGAGTAGTTCCCAGGTCTTAACATGCCTACCAAGGCTGGAAGGAATTACCAGCTGAGCAGCACCAGGCTTCTAGGGATTGTCCATCAGGAAAAGGGTTTTTTAACATTTCTCAGCTCCCCTCCCCCGCCGTTACTTTTTCCTCCTACGTCACATCCTTGCTACTCACACGGGGTAGCTACAGGCAAGGAAGTTAAAAGAAAGGCTCGGGGAATTAATTTCTGGGTTTTTTGGCTGTTTTTTGGGCCATTGGTTCACAAGCGTGAGATTTCTGGTCCTCGCCCTGCTGCTGTCTGATGGCACTTTGGGGTCCATCTGACATCTCCATCCTCTCCATCACCCAGGCTCTGCCTATGGGCAGGTCCCCTCTGGTCCCATGGGGTGACCTTCAGTGTGCTTTTCCTAGTGGCACCTCATTTCTTTTGGCATCTGTGCGCAGTTGATAGTTATTTATGGCAATGGATCCATCATCTGTTGGGTGCAAATGATGGTTTTAGGGTGTTTGGTCTTGTTGGATGCAGCTGGCTGGAGCATCCCATCTCTTGTGTTGGCACTGAAGCTCCTAGTGATGGTTTGGATGAGGGATGGCTGTGCTGCGGGTGCTGATGGTGGGTCTCAAACCACTTCTGAAGGTGGACGTGGGGATTTAGGACCCATAACTCCAACCAGAGCTAGGCACTGAAGCAACACAGGGATCCCCCAAACCTGGGTCAACTTTGGTGGTCTTAATAGTGGCCTTAACACGTGACTTTGGGAAACGGTGGATGTGCTGTAGGTGTTGTTGTGTCCGTGGAGAGCATCAAGAAGACATGGGCATTGCGTCTCTTTTGGGCTGTATTACCCTCCCTGGTGCTCAACTTCTCCTTTTTTTTTTCTCGTCTTCTGTAGATTCCCAAGTTCTTCAGGAGCCGGGGGATCGGTCACACTGGTGCGTGGTGGCATACTGGGAAGAGAAGACGCGCGTGGGTCGGCTGTACTCTGTCCAAGAGCCCTCCCTGGATATCTTCTATGATCTACCTCAGGGGAATGGTTTCTGCCTCGGACAGCTCAACTCGGACAACAAAAGCCAACTGGTGCAGAAGGTCCGCAGCAAGATCGGCTACGGCATCCAACTCACCAAGGAAGTGGACGGCGTGTGGGTGTACAACCGCAGCAGTTACCCCATTTTCATCAAGTCGGCCACACTGGATAACCCCGATTCCAGGACGTTGCTGGTTCACAAAGTGTTCCCAGGTTTTTCCATCAAGGCTTTTGATTACGAGAAGGCATACAGCTTGCAGAGACCCAACGACCATGAGTTCATGCAGCAACCATGGACCGGATTTACTGTTCAGATCAGCTTTGTGAAAGGCTGGGGCCAGTGCTACACGAGACAGTTTATCAGCAGTTGCCCGTGCTGGTTGGAGGTTATTTTTAATAACCGATGACTTGAGACAGAGTGGACTCATGACATTTATACTACTTTGCTGCTATTATTTCCTTCTGAGTGCTTGCTTTTCATGCAAACTTTTTTTTTTTGCTTTTTTGTTTGTTCCCCCCCCCCCGCCCCTCCTCTCTGTTTTGAGAAATAGCTTATGGAAAGATTTTTTTTTTTTAATTTTTTTTTTGGCCTTGGGTATTTTGATAAAAAGATCTATTTTTTAAAAAAGTGTGAATGACCAATAACTCAGAAGGGCGAGAGAAGGAGGGGTGTGGATCACGTATGATAATTTTTTCCCACCTCTGAAAGGATTATCCTATGTGATCAATGCGTTCGGAAGCCACTTGCCATGTTACAGCTCCTTCTCTTGGATAAAACAACAGGATACCTGTAATTTTTTATGCACCGCCTTCCCCTTGCCACCAGCCATCCCCACTGATGGTGACACCAAGACCCTTTCCCCAGTGGTGCTAGCCCCACATTTGCCGCTGAAGGAATGGTGCAGAACCTTCCCAACCAACCAGGTCTTTACTCACCTTTTGAATTTTTTTTTTTCTCATTGCTGGGTTCACGTCTTGTCACTGTGTTCATCCTTCCACTGCTTTTTTTTTTTTTTTTTTTTTTTTTAATGGTCATGGATTGATGCAAAATGGGAGAGAAAACCCAACAGCGGAGAAACCTCGTGCGTGGCCCGTGCTTGATAATTTGAGCTGAGATGCAAAGCAACAGAAGCCTAAAAAAAAAACCCAACAAACCAAACCAAAACCAACAAAGCCCTCCCAAAATGGATAGATTTAGATGAGATATTAGGAAAAAAATATTTTCTTGGGAGGGTCTTAGGCAGTGGCCCAGGTTGCCCAGAGAAGCTGTGGATGCCCCATCCCTGGAGGGGTTCAAGGCCAGGCTGGATGAGGCTTTGAGCAACCTGGGCTGGTGGAAGGGGATGGAACTCTATAGTCTTGAAGGTCCTTTCCAACTCATTCTATAATTCTATAAAACAAATGGGGAAAATAATAGAAAAAGGTGTTCACGATAGTTGGTCTGTTGTAACCTGCTGAGCTCAGGTTATCCCGGTACCATCCTATCTGGAAATGCAGTTGTGCTTTCATTTCTTCTTGAATTCATACACGAGTATGATACTTTTACACTGTTCTTAGCTCAATGAGCATGTTTAGACCTTAACATAAGCTATTTTTCTAAATATAAAAAGTTTAAATGAACAAGAGAGCATTCTCATTGGAACTTTAGCATTGTAGTGCTTTGGAAATAAAACAAACACACACACACACACACACACACAAAAAGGACTCCTTAAAAAAACCCTGAGATTTATTAAAGAAAAAAATGTATTTTATGTTATATATAAATATATTATTACTTGTAAATATAAAGACGTTTTATAAGCATCATTATTTATGTATTGTGCAATGTGTATAAACGAGAAAAAAAAAGAAAGATGCACTTTGCTTTAATATAAATGCAAATAACAAATGCCAAATTAAAAAAAAAAAAAAAAAAGAACACGAGATTGGTGTTTTTTTCTATGGGTGTTACCATCCAGATGAATGTTTTTTCTAAATGAGTTTATGTTCCATTAAGAAATAAAAAAAAACCCTACACTTGATCCCAGGCTGTGCCGAGTGGCTTTTTGAGTGGTGGGGGATGAGGCAGGCAGGAGGGATGCTCCCCTAAGCGGGTACCGCGTGGGGTCCTCCTCACACCCCTTTTTAGACCCTGTCCTACGTGACCATCCCTTGCCATGGCTGGAGACATGTTGAGCTGGTTGGACCTTCAGCTGGACAGTTTTTTTCAGTTTTGCAGGTCAAATTTTAACAGTGCTCATCTGGAGAATGAGCTGAAACACCTCATGGAGCACTTTTATTTTATTTTACTTGCATTCTTCTCTTAAAATAGAAGCCTAGATGATGCTGTTTGCAGTGAGAAGGCTGGGAAATAATCAGTAAAATGATGGCTTTTCAACAGTAAGGCAGCTTTAGCTAAAATGTTCCAGTCTTCACCTCCTGCTGAGCTAATTTTAGCTCTCATTCAACACAGAAAATAAAAAAAAAAGGAAAAAGAAAAGAAAAAAAGAACACAACAGAAGGATGCTGAGCACCAGCTCATCTGTGTCCCCATTCACCCAGAGCTTGTTCAGCTCTAGGGCTGGTAGATCCAGGGAACAGAGTAGTCAGCAAGTAGTCCGGCCCTTGGATGGAGGAGCTGTGGACAAGTGCAGATCTGTCTTCTTCCCAAACAAAAATGCTAACCTCCAGGTCACTCCTGGCCAGCAATGTGATGTCCTTCTTGCTCCAGCACCTAAATTCAGGTACATCCCCAGCTATGAGCACCTCCAGCTCCATGGACATCCATGGATGTCTTCCAACAGAGCAATGGTGGCCCTGGGACCTCCCATATCGTCATGTTCATATAAATGAGAAAAAAAAATATGCACTTTGCTTTAATATAAATGGAAATGACAAATGAGAAAAAAAGAACACGAGACTGGTGTTTTTTTTCTACAGGTGTTACCCCCAGCTCCATGGACATCCATGGATATCTTCCAACAGAGCAGTGGTGGCCTTGGGACCTCACATATTGTCGCCTGTAGGGCTTAGCTGTGGTTTCCACTCTTCCCTCCTTGGAATCACCTTAGAGAAATCTCATTCTCCTAAGAGGCTCAGACATTAGCTGGTTGAGACAGTCTGAACTCCTGATTTCCTCATGGATAGAGGACGTTTCCCTCCTCTTTTCCTTATAAAGGGATTTCTCTGGAAATTTGGGATGTCTGAAATGAGTCTGTTCTAGTTAACTGTACTTTTGTTTTGGACCACGGCTCCAGCATAATTGGTGCTAGATCTTCTGCTGATATACTGCAACGTAATAAATCACAGCACATTTGGGACTTTTTTTTTTTTCCCTCAGTGTTGCTGAGTGGTAAATTGAGGAACGCCATAAAGAAGAGTCAAACGATGTAACTTTTTGCTGCTAAATCATATGTGAAATATGCTCAAAATGTCAATTGCTGATTAAAGATATAGTGTCTATGAAGGCTGATGTATGGCAAGGGAAGGAAGTAAAACTCCACCACCTTGAGATCATGGTTTTCCTCATGGGAAAAGCATTTTCAAATGGATTTCCACTGGGATCATGGGTCTGCACCATGATCCCAGTCTTACTTAGGTGATGCTCAGCATCTGATTCATTCCCCATCTTCCCCAAGGCATCTGTGGGCTCTTGTCTTGCAGGTAGTTCCATTAGGTGAATGGACCCTTCTGTCCATCCAGCCCTCAGGAGGATGTGGTGGTTATGGGTTGGCAGCTCCAGACAACTCAAAGAGTGAGTCCTGGGGAAAAAAAATTGCTTTATGCTCGTTGTATGTTGGTCTTTGTGCCAGTGGAACTTAACTCCGTCTGCAAATGGGAGATCAGTTGAGTCTCTATATAAGTCCCATATATTCATGTCCTGGTCTGCAACGTCTTCTGGAGGCAAAGTGATGAAGAACTGGCTTCAGATGAATCAATAAAAACCACCCATACCTGGAAACAACATTTGCTTTGTGTTGTCTACATGTGTTTAAAAATACATTGTGGTATACTCGTTTGAAGGTGTGAAGGTGGGGATACATCTCTGGTGGTTTAAGGAAGGAGAGAAACATGGGCTAGGACGACCGATGGGGAGAAATGTTCACAGCAAGAAGTGATGGATGGAGCTTTGCCTGGGCCAGAGTGTCACCTCCTCCAGGCTAACTGTGTCACCAGGCTTGGACAGGAGGATGTCCCTGGTCAGCCTTTGCACACTTGCACAGGGGAACAAGAGGGACATCCCTGGGCACTCCAGTGAGTCATTGGGTTGATTTTCGGGTGGCTTAAAGATGAAACAAAACAAAAACCAAAGCACTCGAGAGGCTGAGGTAGCTCTTGTGGTTAACATGGAAGTCACCAGTGTGTCACATTTACCAGCCAAGGTCCCTGTCATCAGCTTCGGTGGAAAAGCCCAGGATGTTTCGTCTTCATCATGCTGACTGGCCCAGCGTCATAAACTGCCAAATTACTCCTGGTGATGAATCTGACCATCCTCTTTTTTCTTTTTTTCTTTCTTTTTTTTTTTTTTAAACATTCTTGTTTCTGAAAGACAAGAAGCTCCAATGCTCACACATCCATCTGGCTGTCACCTGCACACCAACTAACTCCCGAACCTTGTGAGAACGTCAATCAAGTCTGAAAGTGTGATGGAAATCTGAGTGTGAATTTCAGAAACCAAAAAGGTTTGGTGGAAGGAGAAGACCAGAACTAGCAGCTGTCCTGGAGCAGAGACAGATCAAGCTGTGCCATGACTCATCCTCATGGTGAGAACAAGGATGTCCTTCGTGGCTGGGCTTTTGAGATGCTTGTTGGATCAGTGAGCAAGGAAAAGCAGGACTGAACAGGAGCAGGACTCTACCTCAGTTGTCAAGACACCCTGTGCAAGGGGATGCTGGTGCCTCCATCCCAGGCCCAATGTGTGTCTGGTGCCATATACAATAGCGAGATATTTATTGGAGAGGACGGGAAGTCTACGCACGTCCATTGGAGCTGAAACAAGAGGGAGGTCTCCTTACACCCATCACCCACCCAAGCACCCACAGCTTGGTCTGTAGGACCTTCAGGCAAGAGGTGTTGAGTCCCTTTGAGCCTGGTTGAGTGCCATGTTTTGGGCAGACGCTCAAAGCTCATGGCTCCATCACTTCAGTCTTGTGTCTGCGCAGGGTTAGGGCTAAAGGAAGGGAGGTTGGAGCCCTCTGGGTGTTAGAGCAGCTCTGAGAGTAAAATCTGGCTGGTTTCATCAACCTTCCGTGGTGCTGAAGTGTTCGCAGTCTTTCTCCGTATCAGAGGAGAACAAAACAGCGTAAGTCAGACGACAAGCTGGGTGCCGTCGGTTACCAGGGTTACAACAAGCATGGGTAAAAGGAAAAAAAAAAATCTAATTTATTGCAAGGAACTAACTCTTAATTTTGCTGCAGTGCCAATAGTTAGGACTGGCATTACCATGGATGTATTTATATCCTCTGTCCTGGCGAAAATACGTAAGTTATTCTGAGGCATGTGCGTACCCGGAGCTGGAGCTGGGCCACCAAAGACCTCTGGGGACTTGCTATGTGAGAACTGAGGGGGTCCCCTCTTAT